GAGAGCCCGTCCCGCACCGCCGCCCGCCTCCCGGCCCCGGCCTCTCTCCACCCCCCCCCGGAGGGCTGTGATTGGTCAGGGGTAATTGGGGAGGGTTAGTGATTAAGCAAAGCGGGGTGTAGCTGGATGTAAAAAGAGAGTTGGGGGGCTGTGAGGGGGCTGGGGGCCCCCTAAATTGGAAGGAGGTGGGAATGAAAGCCTTCTAGAGAAAATAACTCTAGAATCGCAAGAATGAGATCAGAAAATCCTCCTGGAATTGCAAGAATAATATACGATGGGATAAAATAATTGCGGAGTTGCAATACGTAAGGAAATCATTCTAGGATTGCAAGAATAAGATAAAATCATTCTAGGATTGCAAAAATAAGACAAAATCGTTCTAGATTTAAAAGATAAAATCATTTTAGAATTGCAAGAATAAATGCATTCTAGAATGGCAAGAATAAATTAATTCTAGGACTGCAAGAAAAAGATAATTGCAAGAATAAATTTATTCTCGATTTGCAAGAATAATACAAGAAAATAATTACAGAATTGCAAGAATACAAGAAAATAATGCTAGAATTGCAAGAATAATACACTTTAAAATCACTCTACAATTGCAAGAATACTGTAGAGTTGCAAGAATAAGGTAAGAAAATTCTAGAATTGCAAGAGTGATACATAATAACTACCATTACAAGAAAAAGAACTCTAGAATTACAAGAATATAAGACGACAATCATTCTAGAATTAGAAGAATATGAGGACAATAATTCTAAAATTACAAGAATAATCTATAATAAAATAATTCTGCAATTACAAATAACTGCGGGAATTACTCTTGTAATTCTTTGTGTCCCAGCCCCTCTCCTCGGTGGGCACCGGCCAGTTGCGACATTTGGTGACGTTTCCGTGCATGGTGCCAGGGCGTGGGTGCTCCCGAGGGTCGGACACCGTCACCCACGCAGGTCCTCGGGACCCGCAGGAAGAGGAGAGCTCTATGCCCCGTGGCTCCGCTCTGTGCTCGCAGAAATTGTGCCAGTTTTGCTTCAAAAAGCTTTACAAACCTGACGGCCATCCCTGAGCCAAGTTTGGGGATGGTGGCGGCT